TCCAGCCCCAAAGATAAGAGATCTCCAAAGGATCTGTGACTCTGGTCACCACCCTAATCCCTAAAAGCCTATGGTTTTTCTCCTATAAAGAAGCCTGCTTTAGAGGAACAAGGCTTTTCCTTTGTCTGTCGGACTGGGAGGCCCCTTTGCGCAAACATGCCACAATAAACTTACCTCTTGTTTTTGCATCAGCTGGACTGGACATTGAGTGTTTTTGGGGGGACCGTCCGATTCGTGGAGACTCCTCGGTCCGAGGGTCTTTCACTTCTAATTACTCTGGAGACATTACAGTGTCTGATTTCAAATTACACTGTGAAACAGTAGTAATAGAAACAGCATGGTTAGCCAGGCGTTGGTAGTGCATGCCTTTAATCCCAGCACAGGCAGGTGGATCTCTGTGAGTTCAAGGCCAGCCTGGTCTACAGAGTGAGTTCGCGGACAACCTCCAAAGCAATACAGAGAAACCCTGTCTCGAAAAATAAAAAAGAAAAGAAAAGAAAATGAATAAATAAAGAAAGAAAGAAACAGCATGGTATTGACCTGAGAAGAAAGATGTAGGCCAGTGGACTAGAGAAAAAAGGAATAAATCCATACAGCCATGTGTGTTAGAAGAAAGACAATGTATTTAGCAGGAATGATGGGGAAACTGAATATCTGCAGGTAGATGACTTAATACAGATCATTACATCCCACCCCATGCAAAAGTCAATTATTGTGTATCAAATTCCTCAGTGAATTTCTTCTTTTGGATTAGAAACAGGATTGATTTACATGACAATCCCAGTTCCCTTCTCCCAAGCGTCCTCCCCTACCGCCCCCCCCAACTAAAACCCTACCTATTACATATCCTTTCTGCTCCCCAGGGAGGGTGAGGCCTTCCATAGGGTGTCATCAGAGTCTATTGTATCCTTTGGGATAGGGCCTAGGCCCACCCCCGGGTTATAGACATGGGCAATGAACTTGTTAATAGGACTCTGATAGTCCAGGAAATAACAGCAAGAATTGACAAATAGGATAGCTTTTAATTAACAATCTGCACAACAATTGAAACAATTACCAAAGTAAAAAGATCACGGATAAAATGAGAGAAAAATCTCCTCTCACTCTTCATCTGACATGGGATTAATAGCCAGAAGAATTTAAAAAAATCCAATAGGCCACACATCAAAACAACAAACAGTTCAATCAATAAGTGGACAAATGAACTGAGCCAGCTCTCAGAAGAAGTGGAAATGATCAATAAACACACACAAAATTGTTCATCATCAGAAAAATGCAAATCAAAACAGCATTGAGATTTCACATCACCAAAGTAAGAATGACTACCCCTAAAACCAACAAATAGACAGGGGAAAGGAAACCTGATAAAGCATTGGTGGGAATGTACACCCTCCAGGCATTATTGCAGTCAGTACGGAGATCATAAGAAATATAAAGGTATCCTGGACATGAAGGCATATCAATGTAGTCTCACCAGTGCAGAGACTGGGGCAAGGGGACTATTATGTGCTTCAGGCCAATCTGGGCTACCCAGAAAGAACCAGAGCAGCCAGAACCTATAAGTAGAGGCCCAGTCTAAAATAGCAAACAGAACTTCAAAACAGAATGGCTAACTATATGATCTAGTCATAGATAATAATCCATTCCCTATGGAGGGATACTATTGCAGCCGAGATACAGCAAGGAGGGCCTAGGCCTTCCCCCAAATGATATGACAGACTTTGAAGGTACCCTGGGGAGGGCCTCACTATCCCTGGGGAGGAGTTGGGGGATGGGTTGGGGGTGTTGGTGGAGAACATGGGAGGGTGGAAGGGCAAGGGAATGAGGGCGATGGATATGTAAATATGAGTAGTAATTAAAGAATTTAAATAAAAGTAATAATAATAAAATAGTAACAAAATGTATCATAGAGATCCTGTGTAATCTCTATGATAATGTAATGACGACATGGCACTACTCAAAAAAGCCAAGCTATGGGATCAGCACGTGAAGATACACACTGGAATATTACTTAGCTATAACACAGAATGAAATCTTGTCAGCTACAGACAAAAAGAGATGAGTGGTAAAACTGGAGAACACGCTTTTAATGGCAATGAAGCTGACTCCAACAAACATTACTGTTTTCTCTTATAGGAAGGCACAAAATTTAAAAGAAAATCAATGAAAATAGACGGCAAAGTTTTGGAGAAGTGACAGGAAAAAGAGTGAAAGAGGGACAGATGTCAATAACTGGGGTGAAAAAAATCAATGGATGAAAATACCCCAGAGAAAGCAGTATTGGTGCAATTATTAAATGCTATTAAAAAGTTCAAGAAACTACAGGCTGTTGAATATTTGCTACAGGCCCAGGATTCATGCTTCTTTGACGTAGCTCTTTCAGACATATTTTCTGTGAATTCCTCATTTTTTTTTTTTTTTGTTTACTTCCAGCTGAACTGACTGCAGGCACTTGGTTTATAT